CCCTACACCTTGAATAATCTCTCTCCCTCTGTCTTTTCTGTGACTAATTAGCGTAAAATTTATAAGCAATATGGGCACAAAATCGTAGATCTCTCTTCCCCCAACAGTGCATACAGACAACAGGTTGCAGTTATTATCCATTTGCATTTTTTTCATCATCCCTCTGGCTGCTTGATTTTTCTTTCATTTGTTTCAATAAAATGGCAGAACACCTCCATCCTTCAAGTTGTTGCATACCCAAAAAAGCTTGACAGTATAACAAGAGGTTGATGGAGACTTGAACCTTCCTAAATCCAGCCTCAAGCCAGGTTCACAGCAGAGATTGTTGTAGTAGTACAGTGAGATTCCCTGTGTGTTCACTGCGTTCTGATCACATCTGAATCTACTGAAAACTCCAGATTTGCTTTGATTGTGGGAGAAAAGCATGTGTGAAAGGAACTATTGGGGCAGGGGGAGGCAGAGCAGTGTGACTGATAGCATAGCAGCATAGCTTCTGCCAGAATGGTGACATCTACACCTCTGGGGGGCCAAAACAATGAAAGAACCCATGTCAACAAATGGACTAGATCCTGCCTCTGGTCACGGACGTAGCACTGTCTAGAGATGACTCTGGAATTCTTCATTCGAGAGTAGCTTGCCTCTTCTGAGGACTAGGAGGAAATCAAGGACAAACAGAAAAGTTGTACTGAAGGATGAGGTCTCGGAGTCGAGTTTCCCAGAGGAGAGGTTTTGCATTACAGGGCTCTTCAAAAAAAATGACAGAACCCAGACATTTAGCTTCCCAGATTAGCAAGTCTATTTAGCAGACCCCACTTTGCTTATTCCTCATCCATCACTTTGGATGCCAACAGGCAGTAGGGATATTTTCCCTTTTATTCTTTTCTGTTCTTTTGCTTCCTGGGCATACTGCCAGCTCTTGATCGTCGTGTCAGTGGAGAAGCACAGAGCCGCTAGCCATTCCTTGTGCCGGGTCCCCAACCTAGCTGAGGAGGGAACAACAGCCAATTCAATTTTCTTGGCTTAGAGGTACCAGCACATGTGAATGAAACCAGCTACTCAAAGACACAAGCATGCACAGCTGAAAGACTGGCAAACAAGCACCAATAGCAAGGATTCTTGGAAGAGGGTTTGGCAGCAGAGGAGGAATTTTTTTTCAAAACAGAAACTTATAGTCCTGGAGTAGGAAGTGCAAGTAGAAGGAGCAGAAAGTACAACCGTGCAGTATCAGACATCCCTTCAGAATTCACCTGCAGGTATATGAAAGACAGGTGAGGAAGGGAAGTAAAATGTAGCATAGGTGGTGAGGTGCAACGTACAGCAGAGCTAGAACTGCAACAGTTTCTGACCATAAGTCAAGGAACTTAAAGCACATTCTACATTCTCTACCAGGAATGCCATCAGCACCTCTGTTCCACAGACCAGCACAAACTTTCAGTTAGGATTTTGGCCCTGTCATCCTCATGCCCTCAACATGTTAATACAAATTGCTTTTGTGCCACACTTGAGTGTCCTCAGTGTTATGCGCATATCTGTAAAGAGTTCTCCATGGCCTTTCACAAATAGCTGAGCTCTGGTCAAATGTAGTTCTGCACTTTTTTGTTTGGTTTAGCCCTCCCCCCTTGCTTTACAATAAAGATTTTCACTCTTTCTTCAACGGACAGATTTTTATCAACATTTTGGAAGAAATGGAAACCAATTGTTTGAAGGCTAAACTACCAGTCAGAAAGGCCAAGAGCTGTAAAGGAAAAGTGAAACTGCAGATACCTGAGACCCTAGGATCAAGAGGTACGTATGATGTGCTTATTCCTTTCATATTAATTAAAAAAAAAGTTGGATCCTCTTTCATGATTTCAAGCTCTTTGATTCTCTTGGGATGATGAACAACAAGCAGCAGTAGACAGGAGTTCTCACAGTTCTGTTTTGGATTTCCTCACCTAGCCTTCGATGGCCCATTTCGCTTTTATCTTACAAAAGCCTTATCAATCACAGGAGCAAACAAATTCTTGTTAAAGCAGCACCAGTTGGACTGAAGTCTAAACATCCATACAGATATTGCACTATTCCGCAGCTGCTGATGTGATAACTAAAGAAACCCTGCCAAGAAGCAATTTCATAAGCTAGACTTAAATCTGATCACCAGGAAAAGAGGCATGCTCGGTTCATTTAAATTGCTCCAAGAGCAATACCTCATTTGCATGTCATCTGCTTGATGAGACTTGTAGAAAATAGGGCTTCAGGCGCTTCTTCCAACTGCCCAGAGATGACAACAGGAAAAAGCCATCTCTCCTCTGAGAAAAAACAATCTCAGCTCTCTCAGCCTCTCCTCATATGAAAAATGCTATAATCCCTTATTCATCTTCATAGCAATTTGCTGGACTTGCAGCAATATGTCCATTTCTTTCTGGTACTGGGGAGCACAGGGGTGGACACAGCACTCCAGGTGTGGCATCACCAGTGCTAAATAGAGGGGAAAAAACCACATTCTTTGACCTGTGGTTGACGGATATTCTTGTTAATGCCACCCAGGAGGCTGTTGGTCTTTGTTGCTGCAATGACGCATTGCTCACTCTAGGCAACTTGGTGCCCACCACAACCTCCTAAAGCCTTTTCTGCCCACAAGCCTGTACTGGTGCCTGGGGTTGTTCCTCTCCAAGTACAGGACTTTGCATTTGCTTTTGTTGAACTTCATGAGGTTCCTGTCAGCCTGTTTCTCCAGCCTGTGTAGGTCCCTCTAAACGGCAGCATGATCCTCTGGCATATCTGCTACTCCTCCCAAGTTTGCATCGTCTGCAAACTTGCCAAGGGAGCACTCTGTCCCATTGATCACCTAATTAATCAAGATGTTAAATAGTATTGTATCCAGTATGAACCCTCAGTGTACACCACTAGAAACAGGCTTCCAGCTGGACTTCCCAGAACTGATCACAATCCTTTGAGCCTGGCAGTTCTGCCAGTTTTCAGTTTCACTGTCCATTTATCTAGCTTGTACTTCATCAGTGAGAATGTTACAGGAGACAGTGTTGAAAGCCTTGCTAAAATCAAGACCAACAGTATCCCCTGCTCTCCCCTTGTCCACCAAGCCAGTCATCTCTTTGTAGAAGGCTGCCAAGTTGGGCAGGCATGATTTTCTCTTTGTCAATCCATGCTGACTACTTCCAATCCCATTCTTGTCCTTAATGTTTGGAAATGTTTTCCAGAATTATTTGCTCTGTCAGCCTTCCAGGGATTGAGGTGAGGCTGGGCTGACCAGCCTATAGTATCTTGGATCCTCCTTTCTTTGCCTTAAGATCAGAGTGACATTTGCTTTCTTCCAGTCCTCAGAACCCTCCCCCAATGACCATGACCTTTCAAAGATTATCAAGAGTGGCCTTACAATCACATCAGCCAGCTTCTTCAGCACATACAGCTCCTCATGGGCACATACCATTGTGCCCCATAGACTTGTGTATGTCCAGTTTGTTTAAATGTTCCCTAACCTGATCCTCCTCCACTGAGGGTAAGTCTTCCTTCCTCCA